AGTGTGATAACACTATTGAAAATAGTATTTGCTTGCAAGTTATACCCAGGTTGGGTGGAGATGTCGCCCAGTACACTAAAGTAATATTAAGTGCAGTTATTATGGGCTATTTTCCATCCATTGCAGTTGCTCAGAGCACAGACAATCTGATAATTATTACCCTCAGATAACTCAAGCTGCCTGTGAGGTGATAGAAGATTAATAGTCACATGACTTTTCTCACTGGGTACCCATTTTCTGCTGGGTGAACAGAGGCCATTTTGAACAAACTCACTTGCCTTAGGTGAGACCACATGTATCACATGTGCTTCTATGATGAGAGATCATTTGTGTTTGTGTACAAGTTGTGAATAGTATGATACCAGAAGGAAAAGATCTGGGTTGGAATTGGTTTTCAGCAACCAATGTAAGAGGCGACTATAGGGATCGGGTAGTCAGGCTCGCTGACTTGGTTGACACATGTCATCATATCCCAATTGCCTGGATCGATGCTCATGCTGTTGATCACTAGTTTGTCTGGTCCAGACTCGATTATTTACAGACTGCCGTCATATTGCTGGAATATTGCTGTGGAGTAAAGCAACAAACAAACCAAACCAGAAGGAAAGACTAGGCCCCCAGGCAACAGTGTAGACTCTTCTGAGTAAATTAGGCCTACCTTTCCATTAAAATCATAATTCCAAGGTTATGTAAACAAGTTGTACCAAGAAAGGACTGTTGTCCTTGTCTGGTTATGTGGATGCCTTGTATAGGAATAGAACTACTGTATAAGCCTGGACTTTACACTCAGTATAGACTTGAGTTGCACATAATAGGAGATACACCTACTCACAGTGTTTTGAAATTAAAGTAGTATAACAGAATTATAATAGCTCTGAGTTTCATATAATAGCTCAAGCTGTGTGTGCTAAACACAGTAGGTTTACCTCCATTCTACCATGACTGCTTTATGAACAATATCAGTTGGAACTCTTTCTTTTAACATGTCAATACGTGATGAGGTCTCGCATTCCAATCTCAAGTGGTATCGCCCCAAATGGGGTGATGGTTGATTAAACCGTCAATAACTCACATCCGGTTCAGTAATAATAAATAACGTTTTCTTTATTCACTGTATTAATCACCCATCATTAACTGAATTTACAAAAAACTTGGTTCACAGTTTGAAATTCATACATAAACCATTACTTACTCGAATAATGGCAGCGACTTATGACCTTGACCTATTTTTGGAAGTAATTGTTTACCGTGACGTTGTAATTGGAAATTTGAAAAGATGCAACAGGAGAGGTTCTGACAGTTTGTACGAGGGTACCCTGGTGGTATGACTTGAGACATCTGATTATTGGCACCTTGCAAAATTGAAGAATAGAGGCGCTTTTGATGTGATGAGGAGTCTCTGTGGTATGAATTTACAGACTTCATTTTTGTGTCCTCTCAACTTTACGATTTCACATGCTTCTTCATCTGCATGCGACAGAAGGTTCACTGTGGTGGCTCTTACACGGTGATTTGTGCTCAAAGTTGATTCTACGGATATCATTTTCATCATTTGAAAAGTGTGTTGCGACCTTGTGGCTTCTCAAGGCTTTCCTTCAGTGTTCAGATGTTAATGCGTGCTCCGTTACTCGGTCAGGGTCAGTGTCATCACCAATATCTGACAAAACACTTAAATGGAAATTATCTAACAAATAATAGCCTGATCAATTTTGGCATAATATGGAATCAACGTAAACATATTTTTCTTGCTGAATTTTATTTTTGGAAAGCAGAAGATGTTTTAGGATTGTTCGAACTGAATATTTGTTTCTATGCTCGAGAAGTAATTTTGTATGTTTTTCACCTGTTTCTGTGATTAACACAAGTTTGGGCTCATCATCGTTAAGTCTATCTGCATTAGCAGATGTGTAATTTCTGACAGCGAAATCGCTATAAGCTATCGATGTATCTTTTGTTTGTTTTGTTTCTGCCATGCTAGTGGGCAGACGAAAATAGGGCATCACTGTAAACCATGTATAATTGCACACGGAAAATCAGAGACCTGTATAACGTGATTATATACCTCTGAATGACTTTAATTAGCCAATCACAATCAAGTATTTACTTAAGTCATGGTAGAATTTTACTTGTCACTTTATTTTTATTTTAACAGCCTTTATTTTTACGGTGACATCAGATATTATAATGTAGGTTATGATGAATGACTAAAAGCTGGCTGAACATTTTGTCGTGACAGTACTTATGAAGCTTCTGATACTAGAATTGGAAAGTTGGTAATAAGTTTTTGAATTTATACTTGAATATGAAATATAATTGTTATTAAATTTGATACGGGATCATTTTTATCTAAATGAAAGTGAATTTGTTGCCTGGCTGTATTAAGTCTTATCTCAATTTAAACTTGATGCCAACTTTAGAGCTCTTGCAAGATTGGTGCCACCTTGCGACAGTCAGGAAGTAGATGTGAAGCTGTTTACAATCACGGTATTTCATGTATTGAATTGTGGGCATTGACGTTATTGGACTTGTTTCTTTATGTTGTACATGGCCTTGAAATATGTCTGGACTTACAGCTGACAGTTTGCAGGGACGCACCAAGAATGATGGTGGAGTGTGAGTCATCATTGTTGTTGCTACAACTCACTTTCCATAGTATACAGATGACCAACCACATCCATAGACTTTGATAAATATATGTCTGTCCCTGCTGTTCAGTGTTTGTAAGGAAACTCTAAAATGATATTTACTATTATATTGGCCTGTTAATATTGTTGCTGTTTTGCTACGACCAGTTTACCATCACACTGATTAAAGAGAATTGGGTTCGGCTGTCCGAGTGTACAGGAGGCTTGTTGTTCATGGCTGATTTATGGACCTGAGGGTGTTATCAGGATGAAATCTTAAGGACAGATGGTGTATCACTCTGTGTACAAGGAATTTCTCACTGAAGATTATGTGGTCGATGTTGTCGAAATGTTATTGAACAGTTCTGGAAGGATTCATCAACTGTACAGGTTCTTATTTTACTAGCAGGTCATGAAATAATGAACACAAAAAGGTCATGAGAAAATTGTTAACATTGTGAAAATGTTTGAAAAAAGAAGTTTTACTGTCAATAGAGTTGGCAAACTCTCCTTAAAATGACCTTAAACAGCAAATCAACATACACTTATTAATATACTTTTTTTCAAAAAGCATGTTCATTTTGACAAATTCAGTTGTTTTTTTACATGTTTATTGAGTGAACTACTGTAAGTATTACAACAGACGTGACTTCTTCCTGATCATATAACATCAAGAGTCTATGTGCAAGATCTCATGTGTCTCAAGTGACTCCTTGAGACAGTTGGCAGGAACACCTCCACCTGTCAAATCCTCGGTACCTGTGACACATCTGGTGTTCTAGGCTGAACACGATAACTGAGGACTGCTCTTGTAAAAATACAGTAAATGATTAAACATAATCTTTTTTGAGTAACCCATGTGAAAATGCTCATCATGATTTCTTAGAGTGTTTATTATACAACCAACATAGAAAGATCATAGAAAGAAACAATTCCAGTTGTCTTCTTTCTATACACCATTAGTATTATAACATTTCTCTAAAACTGTCAATATTCCTCTGTGTCTGCTTCCCACGATTGCTTGTGCAGAAATTTGTTATTATAAATATCTTTGGAGAGGGGTTATAAAAGTGTTTTTGGTTTGTTTTTTTTGGTTTTTGTTGTTGTTTTTTGGGGGGTTGGTGGTTTATTCATCATTTTTTAGGGTACAAAACCATGACATCAAATAGCAGTCAAATATAACCATGCGTCTGTATTCAGAGTTTGGCAAGCATATTATAACAAATGACATTGTAGCAAAAAATGGGTCGGTTTTACGTTAGTATCAATCCAACAATTGATGAAAATCTGACCAAACTCCAACAAATTTGGTGAAATTGCAAGAAGAGATGGCAAGTGTTCTCTCAATATTGTAAACTTTACATATTTCATTTCTGATCATATCGAAACTTGGTGTACAAGTATATGTTCTTATTTTAAAGAGAGTAAATTTGACAACTGTTATCAGGAGATTTAAGGACATCGTTCCTTTTTTCAGAGAATCCAAATATGATTTTCTTTTTATCGATATTCAATGTGATATCTGTTTTGGTTTTTATCCAATTAGAAAATTGATTCCATATGTTTTTAGATTTTGGACAGGTTATAAATGTTGTAAGAACTAGTTCCTGATCCTTTTCACTTTGTGAATAAATATGTTTACATGAAACTACCTCTTTGAAATGTGTGGTACCCGAGTCCCATACATGCTTGCAAGATGCCAGTAGGTTGCATCCATTATCCATGATAGGAGGAAGATAGATATTTCATTGGACTGCTTTCGTTGTCAGCTGTGTATATTATGAATGTGTGTATAAAAAAAATCCTGTTTACGGGCTTGATTGATAGGTAGGTTCTTGGCCATACGAGGCTGCTTGTGCTTATATCATCACTTCAGTTTCATATATTTTTTGTTCTCATAAACAACAACTTTATTGAAAATGAGGGTAGAGCTTGTTCCAGAAGCATTGCTTCAAGACCGTAAAGTATTTCTTGATGAAACTTGCTGTACAGATCAGCCTTCCCTTGAACTGGTGCCATTTGATGATCATTATGTTTTAATGAACTGAAGGTATAATCCAATGGCGATGAACCAAAAGTAGGGTATAAGTATGAATACATGACATGTTTGAAGGATAACAACTTCTTTTTTTATTCTTTACACGACGTTTCAGAGCTAATTCTTGCTCCTTCATCAGGTAAATGCTTAGTCAGTACAGAGAGTGAATATATATAGATAAATGCCTTCCAAAAAACTTCAGGGTATAAGTAGCCAAATTCAATTTCCAAATTGCACCAGATCTGGAGGACATGTCCTCTACTGATGACTTTTGTTTGTGAAGACCATGTTCGGGTTGTTTTTTGTCGTTTTAGTTATTAGTGATGTTGTGTTTGCAGGCGAGTACCATCTGAACAATGACAGCATGGACTACGCCATACAGATGGAAATATGGAAGGGGAACATTGGGGGCGCTCTGCAGATCGCCACAGACAGAGAGGAGCTGTCCGACTGGCTTGTGGGCCTGGCGCCTCTTGGTAAGTTTTGTCTGCTTACTTTCCAGTCCTGGGTTTGGTCTCAAGCTCATTTAGGGCAGTGGGGTAGCCTAGTGGTTAAGGCATTCGCTCATCACACCAAGGACCTGGGTTCGATTCCCCACATGGGGTCAATGCGTTAAGCCCATTTCTGGTGTCCCCCCCCACCGTGATATTGCTGGAATATTGCTAGAAGAGGCTTAAAACTAAACTTACTCACTCAAGGTCATTAGGGATTCTACTAACTTGATAGATTCAAGAATCCCAGGTCTTATTCAGGATACTTCAAGAACATTCATGAGTAGAATCACTCCTTGACAATTTGTTTTACTCATGGTATCAACCACTGCTTATGACTTGATTTGTCTTGGGGTGGTGGGCTAGCCTAGTGGTTAAAGCGTTCGCTTGTCACACCAGGGACCCAGGTCTTGATTCCCCACATGGGTACAATGTGTGAAGCCCATGGTGACCCTTGCTGTGATATTGTTGGAATATTGCTGAAAGCGGCGTAAAACTAAACTCACTCACTGATTGGTATCACAGCTGTCATTATAAAGCTTGATACTGCTGACTGAGGCATAAGACAATAATTATCCAATTTTTCCAGAAATGAAAAATATAGTTTCTTTATGCCCATTTGTTTTCATTGAATACTGTGCACAGGCATGACATAGGTTCACTGGGATGGACATTACTAGTGCCAGAAGTGTCAGTTGGTCTATTTTCCAATTTTCATATACAACTGTCTGTACATTTTCCACTTGAAATAAAGCTCATTGGATTCTATCTCTCAGAATTCCTGGATACTCCTTTATTCAACTCAGAGCATACAACCTTTGTTAATAAAATCTCAAGAATTTGTCAACAAATTGTTTTGCCCTTGTCAAACCAAAATATGTATCAGTTGTTGTCAACAGTTAGTTGATAAACTGTTGACATCTTGTCATCAATATTTTCACTATTTCAAACTTGTTTTTGACCCTGTCTGATCATGCCATCCATTTAATCGCCTTTCTCTACCAATGTAGGGGGCGGTGGGGAAGCCTAGTGGTTAAAGTGTTCGTTCATAACGCCGTCACATGGGGACAACTTGTGAAGCCCATTTCTGGTGTCTCCTGGCGGGATATAGCTGCATTATTGCTAACAGCAGCGTAAAACCATACTCACTCATTCACCCACCCTACCAATATGAGACACTGGGGATTCTCACCTGGAATCCTTCATCCCACTAGGAATACTTGCAATCTCAATAATTTGTCAACAAATTGTTTTGTACCTTGCCAAACCATAATATTTATCCTTTCTCTACCAATGTAGGGGAGTGGGAAGCCTAGTGATTAAAGTGTTCGTTCATAACACCGTTTGTGAAGCCCATTTCTGGTGTCTCCTGGCGGGATATAGCTGCATTATTGCTAACAGCAGCGTAAAACCATACTCACTCATTCACCCACCCTACCAATATGAGACACTGGGGATTCTCACCTGGAATCCTTCATCCCACTAGGAATACTTGCAATCTCAATAATTTGTTAACAAATTGTTTTGGCCTTGCCAAACCATAATATTTATCAGTTGTTGTCAACAGTTAGTTGATACACTGTTGACATCTTGTCATTTCACTATTTCAAACTTGTTTTGGCCATGTCTGTTTAGTTGACAAGACAGTCAAGTCTGTGTTTTGAGTAGCAGTTGAAGTATATTTGGTGTTTAGCTCAGTACTTTGCACATAGTATTCAGCATTATTCCAGTTGTATGACTTCAGTCTGGACCAGACAATCCAGTGATTGATACTGTTATGTGCAACAACCCGAGCCAATGGGACTGGATGTCATGTCATACAAATGTAGTAACAAATAAACCCATTATAATTGAAAAGGAGCCCCAGTTAGATGTGAAATTCAGAACCTGAACCTGAGGAAATCTAGACTTGCTTCATTTACAGTCCATTTCATTTCAATTGAGACCAATGAAATGCTGACTACCACCAAATCTAATAATTGCAACAAACCAAATTTTGCACAGTCACATGAAATCGACAGGTACAAATCCAAAATTTGAAGCAAAAGTTTCCTAATATGTTGACAAAGACACAACCAATATTATTGTTTGTAGGGGTTTACTTGTATTTTTATGATGTCATGAATCATGAAGAATGAGGAAGAGACTTTAATCTACAATGCAAGGTTAAACTACATCTCAACTTGAGATAATCAGAATTTTAATAAATTCTCTACTTTAAACACAATAACAATCATGTTTCAGTTTGCCTGCCAAGGGCACTGTGAACACAAATCCTGGTGTTATTATCCACTGTCCCTAGATATTGCCATGTGCACCATGGGATTGTGTGGTGCAGTCTGATTGGTCGTAAAATATTATAGGGGATTTAAAGTTCGTAAACAGTATGACTTTTCTCTATGAAATAATTCATTTTGTATCATCTGTTTTGTTCTCGATGCAATTTTTTAAATTTGCATTCCTCATGGCAATCTGAATATTATTTTATGGAAACCTTTCAAATTTGATTTGATTAATATTGATGTGAACACTTTATGGGTTGATTCCCCCTGCCTTCTGTTAACAAGGTACCTCTGTTGTTGTGGGAACATTTCACCTTATTTATTGTATGTTAGGGCGGAGGATGAACCTATTGGCTAAAGCGTTCCCACGTCACACTGGAGACCCGGGTTCGATTCCCCACATGGGTACAATGTGTGAAGCCCACTACTGGTGTCACCTGGTGTGATATTGCTGGAATATTGCTGAAAGCGGCGTAAAACTTAAACTCTCGCTATTGTATGTTAACTCATTGATGCTGTGGCAAATCAGCAACAGTCCAGAGAAGAGAGTCCTGTTACATTTACTGAGGACATTTTTGTTCAATGTTTATAGACATTGTTTTCAGATTTGCTTGAGACTTTGGCTGTATGGATATTTAAACATTTGAAATTTTCACGCTTCAAAGCTTCATCAACCCATGTAAGAGGTGACCATAGGGATCGGATGGTCAGGCTCGCTGACTTGGTTGACACATGTCATGATATCCCAACTGCGTAGATCGATTCTCATGCTGTTGATCACTGGATTGTCTGGTCCAGACTCGATTGTTTACAGACCGCCGCCATATTGCTGGAATATTGTTGAGTGCAGCTTTAAACAACAAACAAACAACCCTCAACATATCATAAAAATATTTGCAAATTAAAATACGTTGAAAATGATGCTGTTTCAAATGTAAATACAATAATCTGTTACGTAAAGTACAACGAAAGTGAACAAGACCCATTTATGTTTGTGGTACGCCCGTCACAGAGGATGTAATAGGTATGTCCTGGCCTTGAGCCATCTGCAAGACTCTGATGAAGTACTTCAATGACCTGTATATTGATTCTGAAGGTCTGATAACATGATGCTCTTGGATGAGTGCATTCAGGAAGATTGTGTCTTTTGAAGCTGTAAACGAGCCTAATACAGATCTAGCCATGCAGTGTACACTTACTGTTTCATTTTCTTAATTCTGCTAATCTGAGGAAGTATCCGTCTCTTTTCATGATGTCCAGTCCTTTAGCTGGAGTACACAAAGGTGTGTGTTTCGTGAATATGTTTGAAAGAACAAATGAGTACAATGATTGTCAATCAAAGAATATATATGCAGTGATGAACTATAGACATGATTATTTGGTGTTCTTGATTACCCCATATGATACACAATATACAACATGCAAGTCATCAAAAGATTAAACGTTTCTAGAGACTTTTCTAACTTCAAGAAACCCTTTAATTTAAAATACAACAGAAGTAAAATATATTAATGACAGTGTGGTGTTTGGTTCTCATTCAGATATCTATTAGACTCACTGCTCAATGTTAAGTTTAAAGTGTGATAATTTCCCAGTCATGTTTAGAGGTATTGGGGGGTAGCCTATTGGTTGTAATCTGTGCTGTCACATCAAGCCTATTGGTGTTAAGCCTTTGGTTGTACTCTTAAAGTGTGATAATTTAGCCTAGGTTGTAATCTTTGCTCATCACATCGAGGGGGCGGTGGGGTAGCCTGGGGTTGTAGGGGGGCAGTGGGGCATGGGATAGCCTATTGGTTGTACTCTTTGCTCATCACATCGAAGGGGTAGCCTGATTGGTTGTACTCTTTGCTCATCACATCGAAGAAGGGGCAGTGGGGTAGCCTAGTGGTTGTACTCTTTGCTCAACACATCGAAGGGGCAGTGGGGTAGCCTAGTGGTTGTAATCTTTGCTCATCACATCGAGAGGGGGGGTAGCCGATTGGTTGTACTCTTTGCTCATCACATCGAAGGGGGCAGTGGGGTAGCCTATTGGTTGTAATCTTTGCTCATCACATCGAAGGGATTGGGGTAGCCTATTGGTTGTACTCTTTGCTTTCGATCACATCAAGGGGGCATCGGGTAGCCTAACTCTTTGCTCAACAGCCTGGGGTAGCCTAGTGTTGTACTCTTTGCTCACGCTCGAGAAGGGGCATTGGGGTAGCCTATTGGTTGTAATCTATGCTCGACACATCGAAGGCTGATTGATTAGTGGTTGTACTCTGTGCTCATCACATCAAGGGGGGGTAGTAGCCTAGTGTTAAAGAGTTCGCTCGTCATGCAGAAGACATTGGTTCAATTCCCTTCATAAGTACAATGTATGAAGCCCATGTCAGGTGTCCCCGATGTGATATTGCTGGAATATTGCTAAAAGCTGCATAAAACGATATCTATTTTCTCACTCACTCGTCACATCGAGGACCTGGGGTCGATTCTCCACATGGGTACAATGTGTGTGATACAATGTGTGCGATACACCTGAGATATTGTTGATGATCAGCAACATTCACTGGCACACTTCTAGATACATGTTTGCTCTCTCTATTGGATTTGTTGGATAAGTTGGACTTGCAACTAAGGAGAAAGGTGATTGTACCACTTGCTCCTCGTTACACTTGAAGCTGATCATGAAAATCCGGGTTAGAATTGGTCTTCAGCAACCCCTGC